TATTCGGTCTGTGATCTGTTCTCAGGTTATGATGAGGTACCGCTTGACCCTAGGGACAGACACCTCACGGCTATGCATACGCCATTGGGACTAATACAAATGATGGTTGTCCCTATGGGTTGGACTAATGGGGTAGCCGTTTTTCAGAGAGCCATGGTAGCCGTCCTCAAGGACTTCATCCCTGATAAGGTTGAAGTTTTTCTGGATGACTTTCCTATAAAAGGGCCAGTAGACAGGGATGAGACAGAGGTTGTACCTGGAGTTAGAAGATTCATCGAGCAGCACCTAACAGATATTTGTGTGGTACTCGAGCAGCTGGACGATGCGAATTTAACAGTCACCGGAACAAAGAGTCGATGGGCCATCTTGACTATTAAGATCTTGGGGTGTATCTGTGACTCGAGAGGACGCCGAGCAGATCCGGCGAAGTTAGACAAACATCTGAACTGGTCGTCACCGTTACATAGCCCAACCGAGGTCCGACAGTTTCTAGGAGTGGTCGGTTATTGGCGTATATTCATACGGGGGTATGCGGAGAAGGCTTGGCCATTGAGGTTACTCCTTCGAAAGACTGAAAAATTCTACTGGGATTCTTCGCAGGAACTCGCTATGCAAGAACTTAAAGACGAATTTAAGGAGGGAGGACGCGTATTAGGCGTACCATTCTTTGACGATGAGACCGAGAGACCCTTCATAGTATACACGGATGCTGGACCATGTTCAGTAGGTGGTTTGCTGTCTCAGAAGGACGCTGGAGGGAAGGAAAGACCGTTAAGATTTGAGAGTAGGACACTTAATACGGCTGAGCGTAACTACAGTCAATTCAAGAAGGAAGTGTTAGCTATTCTCCGGTATCTAGACACGTTCAGACACTATGTCTATGGACGACGGTTCATCTTGAGAGTAGACCCCACCGCGGTTGCCTCTGTCCTCCAGAAGGACTTTAGTCCGACGGACCCGACCATCGCCCAATGGTTAATACGGATTCGGCTATACGATTACACGGTTGAGAGGATATCTAGCACTAAAAATGCCGTGGCAGATGGACTTTCGCGCATCCCATTTGAGGCCGAGCGCCCGATAGTAGYTGGGGCCCTGACTATGGCGGAGACAGGACCCACCGAGCGTTTTCTGGTTAACCTTTACGAGGGCAAATACCGAATGATCGGGCTACATTTGTCAGGAAAGGAGAATCAAGAATCAGATATCCGGAGATAAGCAGCCCAGTACTGCCTTAGAGCTGGTCATCTGTTTCGAAGGCTGAGCGGCTCAGGGATGCCCTTACGAGTAGTCTGTGACCCTGAGGAGAGACAGACAATAGTTGCGGAGCTTCATGACGGAGTAGTCGGAGGACACAGGGGAGTCAAAGGAACCTACGAAAAGGTACGCAAGTTGTACTGGTGGGAAGGACAGTATAAGGACGTCGAGAGGTATTGTAGGACCTGCGAAGAGTGCCAGAAGAGAGCTCTTGTGAAATACAAAGAGCCACTCCATCCATCCTATCCGACCAGACCAGGAGAGAAGGTACACATCGATCTAGTGAAAATGCCGAAAGGGGTAGGCAATATGAACTACGTCGTGAACATACGAGACGATTTCACTGGGTTCGTGGACGGTAGACCTATCAGGAGTAAGGCGGCAAAGGAAGTAAAGAACTTTGTCCTAGAGTACTTATCTAGGTACGGTTGTGCCAGCAAGACAGTAATGGACAGAGGGGCGGAATTCCTAGCCGACGAGGTTCAGAGCGTGTTCAGGAGAGCCGGGGCGAGAGTTTCGATAGCCACCGCCTATCACCCACAGTCGAAGTCCCCAGTAAAGAGGGGACACCAGACTCTGATAGCGTCACTGTCCAAGTGGTGCAAGGGTAAGGACAGTGATTGGCCGCGATATTTTCGATACGCAATATGGGCGGACAACGTCACGGTCCGGGCTAGTACCGGATACCCACCGTACACCTTGTGGTTTGGGCGACATTGTCCGCTTCCCATAGAGTTTCACGTCGACAGCTGGACAACCGTCGACTGGGCGGAGGAGATGTCCAGAGAGGAACTCTTAGCTGCCGGAACAAGACAGATAGCCTACGGTTTGGAAGATAACCTCATGACAGCGGCTGATCGTCTGGCGGTGGAAAGGGACAAGGGTAAAGAGAGATGGGATAAGAACGTGCGAATCAGGAAAGAGAGGGTGAGCGTAGGAGATATGGTCCTTCTCTACGACGCGGCACTGGAGAGGACCTGAACCGAAAAACTCGCAAATAGATGGATGGGACCTTACAGAGTGGTTGAGGCACTCGACTGGGGTGCATATATGATAGCAGAATTGGATGGATCTAAGTGAAACAACCAAGTGGCGGGCGCTAGGTTAAAGCTGTTTAGGCCCAGGCCCGCGCCCGCTTTATCGCTGACCAGCCCGAAAGGGAAACGAAAAGTCATAATGGAGGAAGGAGCCCCCTTGAGGCAATTCAAGGCGGGGGAGAGTTTCAAGAAAAGGAAAAGAATAGAGAAGAGAAAGGTCAAAGGGTTAGCTTTAGGAAGAGAGAAGAGATGGTTATTCGTGCTCAAGCGAGCTAGACGGAGAGTTCGCGTTAGACGTACAGGCGGGACGACACCCTTCTCGGGGAAAAGACAGAAGAAAAAGAGGATCGTGCCGAGGCAAAAAACCAGAAGAAACAGGAGAGTCAAGAAACATCCTCTTAGCCCCAGGACTCATAACAAGCTGAAACATAAGATAATTGAACGCCGACGTGGACGTCCTTTATGGGCCATTACCCTGAAGCTTATCCGCTTCGTCTGACGTAAGTTGCTAGGGCTCGACGGGGGCGTCAAGAAGAGGTCCGGGCTAACTGTCAGGCGGCCACAAGCAGTGCGCCGCATGAAATCTACGGTTTTGGGACTTAGGCGCAAAGACGAGTCTGAGTTTTGACGGTACTCTGGTTAGACCAGGCAGCGGAAATTAGGGGAGCTCAGGGCGCCCTTGATTTTGGGCGCGCTGAACCTTAYGGGTAACCCTCAAAGATGGCGAGATGGGTGGTCGCACTCGGMACATCAACGGACCGCCATTTCCGGCCGTTCAGAGGGTTAGACCCGGATTGGCCTGCCGCGGGGAGGCATCGCGGGAACTGACCTCGCAGCCACATTTTTGGTGGTTTACGACCGGGGCCGAAATGAGGCCTCAAATTTTTGTCTATTTTAGTATCATAATTAAAGATGGGGAAAAGGGATTATGACCAGTTGGGGAGAAGGAAAAAATATAATATCCCTTAATTTCTTTATTTTTTTTTACGGCATTTAATTCAAGGGGGAATACCCTTGTTATCTTATGTTCCCGGCAATGAAACTAAAAACATAGAAAAAGATTAAAAATGGTAAAAGAGAAAAGAAACAAAAGGAATTCGGCCATTTATTTAAACTTTCTCGGAATTTTATTTTGGGGATCTTACGGTTAATTTATTATTTTCAACAATAGAATTAAGGAAAGGGAAGAATGATGAAAAATGATGGAAGGGACGGAAACCCATGATTATTAGGAGATTGGCCTAATTTCGCCTCGATTACCCGCCATTAGTTCTGACCCCGGATTGAACATTCTCCCCGGATTTTAACAGTTTTCACTACTGCCGATGGTCGAGGTTCCCTGCGTCGCTTTCCCTGGTTTGCTTGATTACTAACACTACCGCATTTGGGATGTTCTGAGAGCGGGAGTCGCATGGACGGCATGGGGTGGTGCTACCTTGGGTCGATGGTATGATATTTGGCTCGGTGCGGATACATGGTTCCGGGAGGTTCGGCGACATTCACGTTGTGGCATTCTACGACGGCCGACGTATTTCAGACTCAATATTCATTCGGCATTTGACTTATTCTAGGCTCGAGTTTGGCCGCGTCAACATATTCTGAGGATCGGTACTATCATGGGATTGCGACATTGTACGGTAATTTACCTATTTCAGGCTCGGTATTGGTACGACTCCGACATTTTTCAGGCTCGACATTGGCTCGGTATTCGACGTGTCCCAGACTTGGCTCCGGTTCGGCCTAGGTATGGTATGAGTTACAGCGACAACGAGTGGAAACCCCAGGTACGACATCG